ATGGCTTATGTGCTTTTCCCCTGTTGAGCTCCCTCCGGGAACCACCTCCATAACTTCGTTCAGAGAATCATTTGGCAGATTTTGAATGCAGATTTGAAATCAGCATCAAAAAATACGTTTAGCAGTATAGGTCTCATTTCAAATGGCCACTTCGACTTGGGATCCTTCCCTTGTCAGAGCGACATGTATAGTAATGAAGATAGGTCCGAACTAATGACCATTCAAGGATATATACTAGTTAGCAGTGTTTTTTTTATGTTGTAACTACCTTCAGACAGGACCACAGAGACGTCATCATGTGTATCATCACCGACGGACACTGCAGTGATCTCAGCGTACGACATCTCGGTCGTATTCGCTTCAGTATGTCTCGTGGCACTTGGAGTATTGCTAGCCAGAAAGCTGAACAGTTCCCTGTACAAACCGGTCCTCGTATGTCTTAACAGCAGTTCTTTTGGGCATGGCATTTGTATTACCCAGAAGATTTCAGTTTCACTTCGTCTCGACGCTACTTCTGCTGGAGATTCCCTTAGTGGTAGTGATATCGCTGAAGTATGCTGGCCAAAGCACTGCAGCTATTAGAGCAGCAGACGCCACTAATCTGCTCGTCGCCCTTCATTGCGGTCTTCACTCAGCATATTTCATCTACAATCACGAAGACTACAGGGCAAGTTCTAGTGAAATAACCTTTCAGAGTACATAGCAAGTCCCTAGTAGATTTATGGGATTAATCAGCCTTCAAACTGGTAATTAAAACGAAATCAGGCTAGTTTGGGACCTGGTTTGAATGTTGGTATACCTAAGGGTATGCCTACAAGTATGAGGTATTATACTTTGAGACCTAGCGGTAACCTTGATGAACAAGCTCCTTCCTCAAGCAGAGAATGTCGGACACCGCTGGTCAATTACAGTGCATCACATTCAGCTCCTCTTAAGACGTGCTAGTTTCCGACCACCCAGACTTTAGTTGGCTCCTCTACAAGGACTCGAGACGCTGAAAGAAAACTCGGAATTATTCTTGAATCTCTAAGGGTTTCTTTTTTATTCTCTTTGGGAAGGATTTTGACTGATTCAACTATAAGGTCTCTTATTGATGGCCTCGTACCATTTCAGTCTCAGTTAGATCAAGCTACTGCTCTTGAATTGAATATGTATTCCTGTTCCACGAAACACCCTGTTGAACTCTGTATGTGTCATTAGGAAACGACTCGAGCGAGACATACTGCTTAAAAAATTGTAACGGAAATTTTCTAAAATGCCCCTGTGGGAGGGCAGGCACGGCCTTCCCCTCACTGTAGCTCCCATTAATGGAAATTACAGTTGGCTTTGTTTGTAGAATTTCAGTTCCCGAATATTTATTATTTTGAAGAGATCAGACTACTATTATTGAAACGTTCAAAACCAATAGATCGCTTCATTTTCAGCAAGGAATACGTGCCACCTTCCTCCGATTTCGTATACTGTCTTCAATATGATTGGCTATTCGAAGCAGTATCGAGGACTAATTCATTGTAAATATCCAAACCAGATGCTGGTACATCTTCAAATTTGGATTTCATGCTCATTTTCGTGAAGCCGTCACTTCTTTCATTTCAACGAGGGTTTTAGGTATCGATTGTGATATACTATTTGGTAACGTAATTAGAATCAATTGTTGTAAATAATTCGACTTGTAATTGTGATGCATTTATTCTTTCGCATAAAATAGTATATCAGCTTTACCTCCTTACCTCTTTTTTCAAGAAATTTCAAATTTTCTAATTGGAAAATAACAAAATGTTGTTAAAAACAATTAAAACAATAACGAGTGTAACGAATTAACAGCGAATGAAAAGTAACAAAAAGTTCGAGTAACAGATGTTGTTGTAATGAATGCTATGGAAATTTTACAATCAGAATGTGATCACAACACATAAAATTAATTAGTTTACACTTTATTTAGGCTTCTTTGCATTACCGCGCTTCTTCTTGTTGTCAGCTTTTTTATTTTTGAACCACTGCTGTCGATGTATTTGGCTTTTCTGTCGAATAGGCTTATGTCCCTTTCTCTCCTTCTTCTCCCTGTAAACGGCAACTTATAATTCCAGTTCATCCTCATTCAAATATTATCATTATTCTAAACGGCTCTCCGTAGGTGTCCTAGCCATAGGAAGGGGTATGAAGGAACTCGCGACCTGTGGCTGCCTTCATACTTTGCCCCGTCTATTGTGAAAAAAATGAAAGACTATAGGCAATTTATGCAAGGACTCAAGCAACTTCAAGAAATTTTAAGCGATCACACATGCCTTCCTTGCTTTGTTATTCGACTTTAATTACTAAACTGTCAATGTTAACTACGTAATTAGCGGTTATCCGGAATAACCAATCGTATTTGACTGCTTAAAATCCTCGCCCAATCCATCCTCTATCGATGGCCCATCAGAAAACAAGGAGTGGAAAGACATCCAATGACGTCTAGCCCAGTGGAAGTTCAACCCATTAACGACCATGTAGTCCATATGTAGACTGCAGTTGTATTTTTTTGTTTTATTCATCAATATTTCCAATTTTTTACGAATTTTCTTCTCAAAACATTACATTAGGCCCAAATGAAACTACATACAGTGTGGTCCTAGAAAATCTTCTAATTTTACATTTGCAAAGGTGGTTTATCGAAAGAAGGCATTACCTTGCTGTATTCTTTGTTCGTTTACCAACTTCAAAAAATGAGATATTCCTCAAAGACTGTCGTCATTAGCATTTTCGCTGTTATCGACCAAACGCAAAGCTCCAATACAATGCAAATAAAAGTTCCCCGAAACGATTTCTGGTAATGATTGAACTCATAATTGAATGACCACTAGAACGAGTGCCGATTCTTTAATAAAGACCAATAATCACTCAATGCGCGCTTTCTTATCAAACCCATTTGAAGGAATATTCCTAAAAACTTATAATTTTCTCTTATAAACTTCAAAAACCGGTCATGCTGGACCATGAAGTCTATATGTGGGCTGCAGTCGCGGGTGGACGAAAAGAGCGCCGGTCCCTCGTGGCGCTTTTCTCGCAAAACGTCGTGGTCGTCAATGGGTTAATAGGAACAATCTTATTCTCGCTGATCGGTTAAGGAGTTGGATAGAGGAACTGAAACGCGTTAAGAAAAGGAATTCGAAAAACTCACTGTTTTGAAGGGCCAGCAACGGCGGCTGCTTTCTCTTCGACAATTTTCGCCTTTTTACTCTTCAGTTTCTCCCAGATTTCCAACGCATGTTGTTTTTCACCGCTTGTAACATTCGGTAAGAACTTAATCACAAGTAACAATCTTTTGCACGACCTCAGATAAGAAAATAACTAAATAAGAAAAACAAAGACAATACCGCATGATTTGTTCTTTTAAAGAATGATCACAAAATAATAGGTAAGAATATCATATATCTTGCTCACCTTTCGCTTTTTCCCAGTTTTAACATTCTCCTTCTCTCCTTTGGCAAGACGTTGGAATTTTCCCGCAGATGCAGTAGCGGTTTTTGCGCGATCAACGGCAAATCGAAGCTTTAAAATTTATATCATTTGTACTAGCTAGAAAAGCTTCCCATCGGTCAGCTTAACTCAACACTCATTACCCCAAAGTTGGGATGCAACTGTATTTTCAAATAAGGAACATACGGTTAGGGACTGTTTGAATGCCAAAGGTCGCTACACACTCATTGGCTAAAATAAATGGCGCGACTGCTACATTAAAGAGTACAAAAAGTCCCAGTCAAAGTCTCTAATTTCCCATGGTTTTCTTTACATTGAACTGGTCGTTTGGCAGAAAGCTCCTTCCCGCTCATTCTCTCTTTACTGTTGAGGGGTGATGCTTTCCTCACCACGGTATCCATCAAATTCTGCGGAGAACAGAGACATGGAGTGGGTTCAAAACATTCTTTAACATAGCCTAGATATCACATCAACGAGAAAGAAAAAACTACATTCGGCTTAAGTGTCGTGCGAGGTCAACACCGTAGAAGTCAATGCTTTAATCCACCCAGAGGTCAATGCTTTCGCCCGCCCGAACGAGCCTCGCAGCACTTCAACGGCTGGGCAGAATGGAACAGGAGCCGAACCCCAGCTCATACGTGCGGTACATGACATGTATAACCCTGAGAACCAATAACAGCACTTCTGCCCCTACTAGAGTCAACTTGGGAAAAGAACTGCTATTTTGGTTGTTTCGAATGCTGTAAAAAAAAGTGTGAATAAACACTCTATTCCTTTTAATTACCTGTTCCTTAGACTTCTCTTCTGGTGCAATACCAATGCCTATGCTGGCATCAGTTGACGGCCCTTTTCTCATTTTTGACCCCATCTGACGGGCAAGATTTTTCAAACGTTGTGTCTCATTTTTCGCAACACGCTCCTTCTTCTTCTCGAGACGCTCAGCAAAGTAGTCCTTATTGGGATCTGAATAAGTGGACTGATTAACCAGATAAAGCTGCTGTCAATTAGACAATTCAATTCCAATCCGAGTGATACAAGAATTGAAAAAACACTGACCAGCTCCATCAGGGACTTCTATGAGCCAATCCTTAGTATTGTCATTGCCTCTTCTGTAACCATAAGTTGGTTTCCACTCCTTCGTCGCTTCATCAAATACCTACAGCAAACAACCAAGGTTATGAGAAGTCGTTATCGAAACACTACAAGTCAGAAGAACTCTCTGGTATCAGTTCAGTAAGGAGAAAAGGTGTTAGGAAATTCCACATGTCTACAGATTTCCCCAAATTTTTACCATACTTTCAAATGCATTATTGCAACGACGATGCTTTTTGAGAATCATTACCTTCTTGTTTTTCTTCTTCTTTGTTATACCTTTCTCTGCAGCATATTTTTCCCACTTCGTCGGTTCTTTCTTTTCAGGTATCTGAATTAAATAATGTTGCATACCACGTAAATAAAAACATTGAAAAAGACTCACCTTCTTCTCCCTCGGTAAAATGAACGACGATTTCGGGAGAGTGGCCAGTACTGCATCTTCAACATTTTTCCTGTTCAGCTCCCATATTTTATTGAACAAGAATTGAGCATTGTTTCTTGCTCGAGATAACAGCTTTTCACTGAAAAGGAGTGCATCTTCAGCCAGTGGCCAATTGGGAAAACCGAAGAGTTCCCATTAACATCATAGACAACACGCAAGTTCGAACCTGGCATCTCCTTCAATGTTGTCCCGATCCACAATAACCAAATGTCCAAGATCAACAAATGGATCCACAATTTTCTGTACTGATGTAGGCTTGATATCAAAATGTGGCATATCCATCTTAAATAAAGGTTATTAGAAGGCGAAGAAGTTTAACAAACGGAGCGCGGTGGACACCACCTTACAGTAACGTCTTCTGAATCACTTGTAGAATATTTCTAATGAAAAAAGCCAAGACGCAGGTGAGATAATACCTCCAAAAAAAGGAATCACAAGCATTTCAGGCAACTGAAAAAACGCGGCGGGTAATAAAGTGTGTTGCCCGCGATGTAACAGCACGACTTAAATCGGACGGCAAAATTTGTAAATAGCGGCATAACATTCATAGGTTTGAAGCGAGTTTCTACGTTTACTTGATCTAGGCATCTCTATAGATCCTAGACCACCACAGAGGACGTTGTCCTCAATGAGTACCAGTGATAATAAGGAAGAGCAGTGCCAGAATTGCCTCAATAAAATCTATTCGGACCTGCTTCATCTTATTTGTTCGTGAGTGTTCTTATTTATCGTTACTTGCTTCCCATTATATTTGTTTGCAACTATTTATGAATAACTGTTTTTTCTTTTAGATTCGAAAAGGGAAGTGGATCAGAGCTGACCGTTCGTCTACGACAAGTTGAATTGGGCTTGGAACAGCTGCGTGAAGCAATTTTATCGATACCCGACATTCAGAATAACGAACAACGGCAACGTGATAAGATCGCTTCTTTGTACAGGTAACGCCTCTGTCTAATTGTCACTAAGCTCTATTTCCTTTTCTTTCTTTTTTCTTAGAACTCTATTTCCTGTCCTCTGAAGGGATTACTAAACTCTTCATGATACTTGTTCAGGCAAATAAAATTGAAGGATGAGCTCATCCAATCCTTCCTCCACTACGATATCGTCGACGGATCCGAAAGTGGGCACGGTTTGACATTCGGTTTCTGCTTGAGTCTTTCCCATCATCGTTTCCTAGACTCGTTCCAATAATCAAAGATATTGAAGGAGTCGACGTCAAACGTGACTGAAGGTTCACCAAACGAACAGCGTCTCATATGCGGTATTTGCAATAGCGTCATTTTATTAGCTGGTGTTGGACGTTGGACTAATAAGGAGGAAGTGCTGCCATTATGTCGACAGCAGAAGGATGTAGATACTCAAAAGGTAATCAGTTAAATGTTTTACGTTCTCTTTCTAAATGGAAGGCATATGGTTACGCAGAAACATTCCCTGTAAATCTTTAGAGCTCTAAATCAGCTGTCAGTTTTGATATACTCCTTTTCGATAGGAGATTGTTATTGACTTTCGCGTGATGTATCACCTTCACCCAGTCGATGTAAATTACCATAGCACGTGCCGTATAAAAAGCTGCTTTGTTGTGTAACATTTGTTTCTCGCTTTTCTCGTTTTTTACTCGCATATGGACAAAATATCTCGAATTGCTTCAGTTTTGAGGGACTTTTTTCGAAATTTTCTGTTACAATCATCACTCCGTGGGCGGAGGTGGTGTAGTGGAAAGTGGCGCGCTATTACAAAGCGCGGTCACGGGTTCGAAAATCAGGCCACCAAGCACGTCCTCTATAAATCCGGAGGTCGATTAATTTCCGAAAGGCTCATCTGGGAAGCTTGACTTGTACATTGGCTGCCACTGCAATTACTTATACAGGCCAAATACCCACTACAATTGTGACTGGAAGTCAAATGCGGGACGCATCCCTCAGATAGTATTGGTCAACGCTCAATGACTCTACTTTTTATCCCTATCTCGTCTTATTTTGCTAATTTATAAATGTTAAGGAAGCTGTGAGTGGGTTCTGGACAGTACGCGACATGTATGATTTCGAAAATGTTGGTTTCACGAATTCGGTTGACGGTATGAAATATCTTACATGTGCCGATTGCGAGTACGGCCCTATCGGATTCTTGGAACCTGAGGCTAAGCTTCACTATGTCAGTTCTACTAGGATTACTTATGGATAATTTTTTTTGCAGCTTTGGAATGTCCATCTTCCTTGTTATTACATTCCATTCAGCTCATTTCACATTGATCATGTCTTTTTCGCCCTAATTTTGTTTTTATATGAAAGCCAATTCTTTTTTTCTTTAGTCTAGGCTGAGTTGAAGGTCCTCATTTGGTATTCTTCAATTACAACTTCAGGTTATGCCGTTGTTCAAAATGTGTTATCTTTCTGTGCACGATTTTACCCCGGAAACATTATTTTACAAGTCTTGACGTTATGATCATACATCCCTCCTCGCAGTAATAAATGTTTTGTGATATGATATAGCTTACCTTGCTATGGCTTCAGCCCATATGCTATCTCGTCGATTCTCCTTTGTTCCGTTTTGTGTGTTTCTTCTTTTGTGTGATTGTTTAATTGTTCTTTGCAGCATATCATAGAGTCTTAGCCGAAAATGGCCGACAAAAAGGAAGCTCCTCAGGTTTGGCTCGCTATTGACTTTTTTATTCGGTTTTTTCAGTGATCCATGTTCTGTTCTACAGTTGCTGTGGTTATAACATATAGTTGCAGATGCTCTCTAGCACTGTAGAAGAGCCCCTTGATCTGATCAAACTCAGTCTCGACGAAAGAGTATATGTGAAAATGCGAAACGATAGGGAGGTTGGTGAGCTTTTTCCCAAAGCTGCGATCCTTTGTGAGAACTAGTGAAAGACTTTTTTGTGAGCTCTTCAGATATTGGTCGATTGCTGTCTGAATCCATTGCTTTAAGACTGAATTTCACTTTGACCGTTTTTAGATTCGTGGTCGTCTTCATGCCTACGATCAACACCTCAATATGATTCTGTCCAATGTAAGGCTTTAGAATAATGATTGCTAGAGGATAGAAAGTGAGTGAAATTATGGATTCAGTAAATTTACTTTTTTGCAGGTTGAAGAAACAGTGACAACATCAGAAGTAGACGAGGAGTCATTCGAAGAGATCTATCGGCAGACGAAGAGAACAATTCCAATGCTATATGTACGTGGCGATTCTGTTATTCTTGTATCGCCACCTGTCCGTGCGTCCTAACCCTAATGTTTCGATGTGGCCCATCTTCTCTGAGGCTTGCACTCAGGGTTATGTGAAGACTGTTTTTGCTTCTCTTGCGTTATAAACATTGGGTATGCTTCATTTGAATTCTTCCTTTCTACGGCTTCGATCCGTAGTTCGTCTGTTCCTCTTTCTTGTAGCTGCGTTTTTCCTGGTCTTCATTCGCGTGGTTGTTTACTTTTTAGTTCTCCACAGAAGTTTTTCGAGTCTTAACTGGAGGTAGTTGCAGAAAAAAGCTCTCCAGGAAAGATTTACCATTGAATTTCTTTTTTTTTTTTTTTGAATTCCCAAGAGTTCCTTCACATTTCGAAGTTGTCCATGCCGCCTGGCATTTCCCTTTGGTGTTCTGTAAAGACTGTTTCTGCTTCGTATACGTTATAAAAATTGGGAAATATTTACTTCAAATTCCATTGTCGTCCGGTATTTTGTGTAGTACAAGCGCTGTTCATAAATGCTCATTCATATGATGCATGAGTCTTGATGATTCGAAATTAAATTGAATCCCCAAACTCCTTTAATCAAGCATGATTTTGAATTTGGTTCAATGTCATCACAAAGTCTAGAAGCATGTTCATACAAACCATACCGAATTTGATGCGGTTTATCACTAACCATAGGCCTAAACGAACCTGTGAGGTATACCATCGTTCTTGCTCTACAGATTCATCCCAGTTTTTCTTCAAAAGAGATGCCATTTTATCATGAGTTTCTTTCTGTAGTATCTTGAGGAAGCACGTAAGGAACCACCTGTGCCTCCCGTCAAGGTGGTACTGACTCATTAAAGCAATATGTAGATGGCATCTCAACATTTCGTGAATGTGCTGCAAATTTGTTGTTAACGATAAATTGACGAGATCCTTAAGGTTTTTTTTCGGAGGATTACGATAGATCGCACCTCCAATGCTTTAACGTAAATTTTATTGTTTACGCGTATCCTGCATTAATGTCACCGGCATTCCTGAATATTTTACACCAATTTATAAGGATTTCGAAATTTGAATCTCCTACAGTCGTTTAGAATGTCCATTGAGGCATTCGTAGATGGTGCTGTCGATTTTGTACATGTTGAACAACTTCAGAAGCTCGACGTCTTCTCCTATTCGGGTGGCATTCATCTGGAAAGGCATCATTGTGAAGGTCATTCCTCACCAGCTTCTGGTGAGCAATATTACCTGAGCATCGACGAATAAGCACATAATATCACCGAACCGGTTCGCGTAGTTGTCCATTTTCCGTTCATCGCTGAAATATAGTACAAAGCGATATTCAACGAGTGTGCGATCTATGAGAAACCCCTGATATTCCGCCAATGATGTCTTTCTTTCTATCTTGGCCGCATGGTAAATTGAAAGCTTACTTCGAAATTTCTTTTGAAGTTGAACACAACAGAACTACCGTTTGGTAAGAGTATATCGGTGGCAAAAAATGCGAGAAAATCCGCAGAATTCGCGAAATATAAGGCTACTGAAAAGTAGTGGAAGTAGGGGGCTGTACGAGTTTGTTATAACAGAAATATTATGGAGTGGGTATTTGGACGAGTTTATCCTATGCCACGAACTGCCTTCTACTGTCGTCATGGGTCACAAGTAGTTGTTTGAATTTACAACATGTGTGCTCTATTGCGAGTGGGGCAGCATTAACAACACCTGTGAAACACGTCCACCTGTGGTGTGGACGTTGAGAAACCGGTCATAGAGCACTTACTGCCTCTATTTGGGGCACTTCCAAACCGACAGCCTCCCCCCCCCCCACCCCAGGGCATACATGGGGGCAACAGATTGGTATAGTTGTTGGAAATCTCGAAAAACTGTTTTGTAGTGAGCTGTGCCTCTCATTTCCTTTTCGATGATGCGCACTAGTTCAGTGGCTAGTGCAAAAAGTGCTGTGTAGTTTTGTTTTTTTTGAAATTTAGGGCTCTGGTATCTCATATGGAGTTACTTTTTGCTGCACACTATTGTTCTTTGATATTAGTTTAACTGACAAAAAGGGCAGCTTGGCGAAGGGCTCTCCAATATCCTTCTAAACTATTAGAAGAAGTTCTGATCAGGTCCTACTTACCGATAGTATTCATGCAGACCGTAGAAGATTTGTGCTCGGTAATTGCTAGCGATTCGTTCCGCTTTCTCACAACCTCGATGCGTTCCTGAAGGGCTGATCTACTTTTTCAATGACGACGACTTTTTTTTTTTAATAGTTTATGGTTTCATTCACTGGTTAGTATCAATACATATCCCTGCAACATAGGGAACTCTTTTTGCCGAAGACTCATTCTTTCATCATCTACGTCATGAGTTGAACGATATTTCTAAAGTTTTCACTCACTAGGAGACCAAAGAGTGAGCCCTAGTAGAGCGACGAACTCCACCTCGGATAATGTAGTAGCATGCATTTGGTCAAGCAACGAAGAACGAATATGCAGTTGAAGCGAGGTGATTACTCTGAAAAAGTTTTTCTATTAATTTCAATCTAGGGCTCAGTTACTGTATTCGTGATGTCATATTTTCAGGTCAGGGTGGTGATGGTGTGGCGGCAAAAGGTTTCTTTACTACACAGGCATGGTCTGGGTTGGAATCTCGGATAGATCCCCTCCTGGGGAAGCCGAGCTTTCTACGGGGTACGGGACTAATCTGTGAGGATGAAAGCACTAGTTTGCCCATTGGATAGTTAACGAATTCATTGTATAGATCGCACTTGCCGTCAAATCGCCACTACGGTTCAGAGTGGAAGTCGATTGCGGATGATGCATCCCAGAAATGGGATTAGTGAAGGCCAAAAACTTCATCTTCACTTGCAGAATAAGGAACCAGGAACCAGAAGCTTGCTGGAGAAGCTTTACATAGAGCCTCGTTGAGTGGAATACCTGGGAACAGTAGCTGAGGAGGGGGGCTACACACGTGGTGCGGATAAGTCAGTAAAGAAGGTCTCTGGAGTGGGAGTACATGTTTCGCGGTTAGCTTTAAAAAAATTTAAGTTCAGGTGAAGGGTGTTTTCGCGGAGGATTCACATTGCTACCGCAAAACGAAGATGATGAATGAAAGAATCGATACGTTTGAACCCAGTCCTGAATATGAACTTATTCGAGGCCATGTTCTCGTCTCAAAGTAATCGAAGTTTGCCGAATGAAGGCATGCTTACTTACTCTTTCAACTGATTAAGATCTTGTGGCTCTTGAACTCCGCCTATGAGGTATTCCAAGTTATTCAAATCGCTGTATGTCGTCAAAGTGAGCATCATCCTGGAACATCCGAGATGATAACCGCGAAATTCGCTGATTATCTGTTACACACTTCGGCTACTCTACAAAAGTAAATTAAATAGCAAAAAAGCAGAGATCAACAATGTTCAACGAGATGAACCTCCCCGGCCACTTGAAGACCCTATCGTTTACAATTTACATAAGCTGACTAATTTGGCTATCGCTTGAAGTCATACCTCAGTAAACCGACTTTAGTGTTGACTTCTGACATATCCCAGATAGCCTCTACTCCCTTAAATGCTTTGACGGGGCTCGTATTTCAATGTTTTGGTGCTGAGCTCGAAAACTCTGTTCAGTGACTTCGGTAGCGTGGAAATTTCCAGGAACGGTTGGCAGCGGAACACAAAAAAAATCAGAGGGAGGTCCTGACTTTATGGTCTGGACATAGTATCTATCAACTATCAACCACTTTGTGCTGAAATCAGTGAATTCAGGCGGAGCGTGCGCCATTCAGTTGATAGCCTGCCAAGGAAGGTTCGTGTCTAACAATCCCGGGGTGGGGG